GTGATCAGTTTTGCCACGAAGAAGGAAGAATTCTTGACTTACTGCATCGAGGACTCATGAAATCTCTGCATATAATTCCTCTGTCGTCCACCATTAGAGTCTGTAAAGCAGTTAATTGAAAGCTCTTAAAGACAATGCTTCTTGTTGATTGCTGCGACAATCAAATTTGGGTGGACTGGCGAAGCACACACACACATCAGGAAGACTTAGACACTTTTCTACAATTATTGTGTTGGTGGTGGTGATTGTAGATTAAATGTTCGTTGTCAACCTTGGAGTTGACGAATTAGTACGTTTGAGCCTACATTCGCCACCACAATTGGAGTTTGGAGTGTGGGAGCAGCACATTGAGCTGCCGCATTTGAAGTGCAGCATTGTTAGAAAAATACTTGGTAGTTGCCGCAACACAAACACAAACCTACAATGACAACCATCGATAAACAGCAGAACTGGTGCTGCGTTTGACAGAGATGTGCATCAACATAGGTTAGAACGTACTATTGGATCGAGTCTGCAGGTCGTCCTACGAGCACAAACGATTTCCACCTCATCCAGTCCACCCGCCTTGATTTCCATCGGACTAGACCGCTGTGGCTGAATGCAATCTAAATTAAAGACAACAGAGGCCAGGGCACTTGTCGAGCATTCATGCACTTAACAACTCTTCCTGTGTGTCAACGTCGGTTTGTCTCCAACCACAGATGTCCACAAGGCATTCTGTTTCGTTTGTAGCCACATGTCACAAGCTAAGTTTGTTGCTGGTTGAGAGAGGTGGGAGTTCAGTCGAGACACGCAATTTGTGTGTGTTCCTGCCAGCTAGACAACGTGACTTTCTATATTTTCAATGCACATGCCATCCATTCCCCATCTTTTCACACTGACTAGGCTGTATTTTAGCGTGTCGACATGGCGATTGCCGACGCAATTCTGTACGCCTGTTTACGTGCCAGACAAGCTGATTAAATTAATGCCATGCAGCTACGATATGATACGTACTTCTGTCGATGTTTTTCCAGGTGCCACCGTGTGAGAAGTAGACAGTAATATAGCTATTGAAAAAGGTTTCGAATTCCTCTATGCCGAGGAATGCAAGAAAGATCTTATTCTCAACTTCGCACACACGCACTGTCGCAATGAAACCACCTGATGGGTCTGAAAGTTGAAGAATAAAATACGTCATCAACAGCAACAACAACATCAGCAACCATCACCGTAATGCTCTTCTTCACTAATGTCTCCTGCAACAGCTCTACGCGTATCCACGTACTTGCAATAACCACAGCAACATGCACTGCTTGATGTAAAATCACATTAAGCAGTATGC